AACAAACTAAATGAAATAAATAATGTAAAGAAAAGTTAAAACATATTAGGTTTCATGACTTCTATGTGTTTGCGTCTTCGAACTGCAAATACGGTTAATGTCGAGCATAAAATTAGAAAGCTGAAATCTTATATCATATGCGGTATCAAGTCAATTTCTGTAGCTGGATTTTCTTGCAGAGAAGTGTAAAGAACTTGCTTCGCACAAATATCCTGTCGCGAAAGAAAGTAAAGTATTATGTGAAATTCATATAATATGAATAAAATAAAATGTGAAATGATGTCAAAAGTGTGTCGTGACCAGTGCTGGGAAGTATGTAAAATAGGCCAGCAGTTGTAAGACTTTTAATCTTAGCTAACAAAACAGAGAGTTAAATTTCAGGTGAAATTTAAAAGCTTTTTACAGTTAGAAAATTGATCCTGACATAACAAGCGGAATCTGACTTCAGACAATATTTCGATATTCTTCTAACTTCACCTTTATCATTTTTCGAGGAGCACTTAATGCCTGTTTGCTGAACATCAGTGTTCCCCAGAACAGAGTTAAGAACACGCTGGTCTGAACTACACTTTCTCTATTCGTACAATTTAGAAGATAATTTCAAATTTGGAACTTTACAAGGTGTGTTGCAAATTAAGGTTGAAAAAAAAAGCGTTTTTAGCTGAATGAATCCGGGAGATTTATGTTAATAAGAAAATTAGTTTTAAAACTTTCGGCTATGATTTTTAATCCACAGACTGATATTTAGTTTTCCGATGTGCTGTTCGGTGTTAAATTTGTAATAATGATAATAATTAAAGGTTCAAATGTTTCGGCGTGCTCATATTTGAGAAATTATTACAAGAATTTAATTCATTCAAACTATGAGGTTATAGATTAATGAACATAGCGTTACATAAATTAAAGTCTTCCCTATAGCTAGGTTATTTAGTCTTGCATGTAGACTTTTATAAGTTCTGGGCGGCTTACCTGAAGATGAAGTATGATGAAGTCTCACTCTTTTAATTTTCATTTAATGGCATAAAACATAGAACTATCAAAAATGAATAAAATATTCAGCTTTCACACATTCTTCGTATTTTTAAGTAGCAAATAATATTTAAGTTATAGGATATTTTATGTATATAAGTTTAGCTATAAATAAAAAAATTTAGCTGTAGTTTTATCAGAAATACATTTATTAGATCCCTCTAAGAATACGAATAATAATAAAATAACGACAGACTGTACTAAGATGTTGCTGTAAAATAAACATATAATCATTAGAATGAGTTCTAATTTAGGGCATAAAGGAGATGGCCGTATTAATGAAAGTTTGGGACAGTAATTAATATCTTTTGCAATATTCCGTTAATTTTGCAGTATGAAAGTTTCATCTACGTAACAGCGGAATGCAATCTATTTGCCTCGCAATTTTATCTTCCAGAAACGGTCCAGAAAATGACTGAAGGTTTCATTTTAGTTGCCCAGAATGAGAATTCAGTCTCTTATTTTGCTGTCCTTTCCCCTCATTCTTCAATGCGCTGGCATGAAATTGCTATAAAATCAAATTGAGTTGTAATACGAGATCAGTGCATTGAAAGAACGAAAATTTAATGCACCTTGCATTGCAAAGAACATACCGCGTAACGAATGCTTTCCAAACCTTAGGATTTGGAATAAAAGTCTAAGATGATTGAATCGAATGCAAATTCAATCCAGCGATTTGGTGTATTACGTTACTTCGCAAGAGTTCATTACACTAAACTCCAATACGATTGGTACCTGAAATAAAAGAGCAGTTTAAATTTAACTTTGTCATTTTGTTGTAAAACGAAAAAGAGAGATTTCAGCTTTAGAAAGATATTTCCAAGCTTTAGATTAGAGGGAATTTTATCGATAAAGCTCTCAAACAACGCTTTATGGTTCAATGCATTTATTTCAGATTATTGCCAATTTTTTCGACGTTCTGAAAAGATCTTTTTGAGAACTTTCTTTCACCTTTTTTATGGCCATCTCATTTCTCTCCTAAATTAGAATTTTGAGTTTCTTTTGAATACATTCGCTGCAATGAATAAGATTAATTTATTTACCAGTTGTACGGTTCATTCATGCTCGAGAGAATGAGCTAGTGTAAGTAGTTGTCCATAACTCAGATGAAGTTGGAACTCTTAAGTAGCTTTCATCTAAGTTCAGCTGAAAAGAAAGCTACCAATACATTTATCTTTAAGTTTCTACGAAGAAGGTGTGAAAAAAGTTTTCCTTGCACTCAGTTATTTTATCCCATATTTTTCATTTATAGAAATTTGTGAATTAGCAACATAAAAAACGCATTTCTATGTTTTATACAGACCTGAACAATATTTTAAAGCAAATTTCAATGCAAATCTGTTAATTTAGAGCTGCTTTCAAGGACAGCAATAAAGACTTAACCGAAGTGTTATTTGTACTATGTTTTATACCAACTAAAACATCATACAATGTGACAGTTTGAAAATTTTACTGTTGTCTGATCACTAATTACATTTACTTGACACTCTCAAATACGTGTCTCTCCACACAGAAGAGACATGTAGTAATTATATGTATGCTGCATTCAATTTAGTACACAAAGCGGCCAATATTTACAATTTAATATAATATACTATACGTTGTGTAGCATTTAAACATATCTTTCGAACAGAACAAAACAGTACCTACATTATTTTCCTCGTGAAATTTGTTAAAAAGCATTAAAATATTTAGGAAAACAATCGTAGCATTTTCATTTCTTTTATCTTGTATCATTTTCTAACATATAACAGAATTGATGGTCACAATTGCGTTTAAAATCCATCTCATATTCAATTCCGAATAAACCACATGAAAACAAAAATCGCAGTACAGTGGCAAACTTTAAGGAAAAGGGAGGCAAAACATGCTAAAAACAAAAATGAAAAAATATATTTATATCTTTCGCTGCGTCATCATCAGGGAGTTCCTGCAGCAAAATGACAAATAAATAAAATAGCCTGTTTCTAAATTGACAAGAGCACAAATTAATGTTTAAAACTTTATAAACTTTAGAAAAACGATCAAAGCAACTTGTGTCTTTATCAATCCAAACCCTACAAGCCGAGTAAGCAGTACAAAAATTGTAGCTTCAAATAAAAGAGGCAAATTCGAAACGATTGCAAAATAATAGACAAATTTAAAAAAAATTATTAGAATATAGTACAAAAAGATACAGATGGATATTCAATAAAACTGTTAAATGGCCCTTTACATATTCATTAAAAGTCATCATATCGAACAATATGAATCAATCAACAGAGTTTTGTAAAGTTATGGTTCATAGATGTTTCTATTATAGGAGGAGATAATTATATAATTCAATCTAAAATTTTATTTCGAGCTCAGGGATGACTTGTTACCAAAGAACGTTTTCAGAAACATTGGAGGTTAAGCAATATTTGCTGATTTAACAAATTTCGCGCTGCATATTGTCTTTACTAATAACAGAAGAGTCAGGAGGTGGTCCCTCTCAAATGATGTCTAAGAATGTCTACCATATGACTGTTTCTATTCTTTGATATCGGTGTAGTTTTGGAGAGGGTTGGGAATCGCTCTCAGAAGACTAACTTCTTAGATTCTTAGAAGACTATCCATAACGTTGCAAGACGGTGATAATAAAACTTTACAGAGAGACGCCTCAAAAGATTAACTGTATAGAAAAGTGAAATTATTTACATTGAGAGAGAAATGAAACTTCCTACAAGCGGGCCTAAGCTTTCCTCCCATTACCTCGATGAAAAGTGTAAATCTGTTTTTAGAGAAATTTTTTAGAGAAATGTTTGACTTTCATTGTAGCATATTTCTTGAAATCTGCGTGATCGAAAGTAACTCGATACAATTTTCTATTTTTAAAATCATTTTATTGAAATAACAAACAAAAAAAATGTCATCTTTAGCCGATCAGCCGCTCAATCCGTGTTACAAGGTGAAAAGAAAATGAATTAAATGCTTCATTTTTGAAAAAAATACTGTGATAGTTCATAGCTTTACAAACAAAGTAATACATTCCCAGAGAGCTTTTGCTTCATAAGAAGCGCACGCGGAATTTGAACTAGTATGGCTAGCAAAACATCCCATATTAATCCGTTGGAATACTTCTTGGAACCATTACTTCGAACTTGATTTTTGATTTGCAACAGAAGTTTGATTAGGACATTTTCACAACAGAAAGGCATACCGGTTATAAAAAAACAATTTATGTTTTTCAACTCGCTGCAGAGTTTTTCAACGGTGAACAACGGAGCCATTGTGTTATGTGTGTTACCTTAAGAACTCCATTATCATTATGTTTACTTTATTAGGGTGTAATGTTTATCTTTCTGTCAGTGACTATTTCCAATTTTTTACTCTCTCACTCTTTATTCAGCATCTTTGCACAATGTGTATACCATAAAAAATGCACTTAAAATCCAACAAATAACCGTCAAAAATGACGTTACCTTCATTTTTTGTGTTCTTTGTGAATTTTGACTACTGTGCTAAGCTTTTGGTAGCTTTACTTTTTATTTTTGTTTATTTTTCTGCATTTTGCTTAAATTCTGCGCTTCATTACAAGGTTAGAATTTATGATAGTCAGCAAAACTTACTAGAAGCATTTTATCTTCAGGAAAAGTATCCTGTATTAACACCTAAAATGTCTGTTGGCATTTTTCTGAAAAACCAGTGACTGCATAATAACTATTTGCGTAAGCAGATTTACATGTTATTCAAACTCAACTTTTGGACCTCATATTTATAGAAAAAAATTAAACAGGAGTATCTTTACTGGAGTTCTGTTTTCTAAACGTGATAACAATAAACGACGACCAAAACATTATTACGAAACTGAAATTAATATTTTTCTCTCCCACGTTGTAGAGGACAAATCCTTTAAACAATATGTCATCTTAAAATGCATTTCTAAAAAATGGGGTTACTTATATGTTACAAATCAACAAATTAATGATGTTCCTTATATTTGATTGCAGGCAGGCCGGTCGAAATACAGAGGCAGAAACCTATTACCACATGGCAGTAAAACTTCGGCCAAATGTAAGTTAAAATTTTTTTAAACCTCTTTTATTACATCGATAATTATTAAAAAGCAGAGAAAATTGCATTATGAGGAAACTTAATTTTACGATTTAATAGTTTAATGTTAACCTATTCGAATTAATTAATAAAATATGCTACCGTCTTTCGATATCTGGAGCATTAAAATAATGTTTTTCCATTGATATTTTGTTACTATTTTAGTCCACGTTAAGGGCAATTTTGGGTGAGCTTTAAACAGAAGTGCCAAAATATTAAGTATGCCATTAAGTTTCTGACTGCTTCCGTTCCTTCAGAGGAAGGATGTATGGCATCCGTACATAATTCACTGAAGCCGTACGCGTAAAAGTTACGATTCAATTAGAAATTTGCTTGTGTGTAGATTTCGTAAACATGGATTGTGCACGTCACTTGTACATATTTAACCACAAGCAAATTATTGCAACCAGAAATCTGGGATTCTTTGTCGCCAAGGAGACAAATGTTCGTAGGTTTCGTGGACAACAGTGCAAAGATATCATAAGAATATATCAGTTTTTTTTAAAAATATCAAACAGAACTGGGTTACCCATACTTAAGGAAGGTGATACTGCTCAAAAGAATAGGAGAAGTTCATATGCAATCCCACCATTTCAATGATGATGCTATTTATGTCACCATTTAAACGCAGTATATAACTTTCTTTACGTTTTTTGAGGTCCTTGGTAGTCGTTGATTGAAAGAGGTGCAAAGCTTGTCCACAGCTATGCCTTTCTCCGCTTATCATATTTTTAGCTACAGCTGTGTTGACAAGATGGATGGATTTGTGAGAGACACCACACGGAACCATGGATATAACCCTCCAGCAAAGTTACTATGCTGACTGATGGTTGTTATATCACAGAGTGGAGCGTGTTATTTGAAGTGCTGAAGGAGCACTAGTGCAGTTGAATTCTTAAAGGACAGGAGTGATGTGTATAAGTATGATTTTAAACTTTCAAACTCGTTTATGAAATCTGTATTTCCAGTCTTTGATGCAGGACAAGCAAGCCTTCCTCTGTCCAGTGTGTAACACAGAACGTTCTCCAAGATCATAGTACTAACTTCAGTTGCTAATACAGATACACTGATATACATTCTATCAGATTTAATCCCTGTGAGCATTTTGTGAAAAACTGTGCGGATTTCATTAAGTGATTGTTGTGACTTATTAATTTAGAAGTCAAACAACAAAAAATCATTTGAAAAAAAATATTTTCAAATTCTGAGCTGAGGATGATGGTTCGGTAAAACTATCGTAACTAGTCCTGTGAAAATTTGAAAATATAACGCTGATTTTTGTTGTTTGACTTCTAAATTAATATTTGTTCGGCGTGTTATTATATCTTAATGATTGTAGTAACGTTAAACACCCAAGTTTGCACTATAGAATTACTGTAGGACATTTCTTAATTTTTATACTTTCACATCGATTCCAACGTTTCGTTTACTAAACATCACATCGTACTGAGCCATAGCTGTTTGAGTTCATATGGTGTCTGTTAATTAGATATGCAATAAGTCTAAACATTTCAGATGATTTAATTATTTTGTCACAGTTTCTAAAGGTTACGGAACGTTCATTACGGAAAATTTTCCAAACACAAAGAGCTTTTTAAATTAATAATTTTGTTATTGTACGCTTAAATTGTATTACGTTTTACACATTTGTGTCTTTATTATTGTTTTTAGGAAGTAACAAGCCATATGAACTTAGGAGCCATGCTTCACGTGAATGGGAAACTTCAGGAAGCAGAGATGTCTTATCTGGAAGCTTTGAAACTGAAACCTGATGATGCTATTACACAAAACAATCTTCAAAAGTTGCGAAATCTCTTGGTGCAAAGAAAATTGCGCTCTAGCGCGCATAATAGTCGCTAAACTCGGATGGCAGTTTTGTTATACTCTTCATTTGATCCAATGTTAAGACAAATGAATTTTGTAAACTCGAACTGCATATTATTCGTGTCATAACTGAATCATTTTGATGTGACGATGTTCTTCAGCTGCAGTGCAGCTATTCAGGATAACAGATGTTTTAAGTTTGCAGTCGTTGCAATGTTTTGTAAATCTTAATCCGTCATTTACATTCCCTGTTATAAGTGTCACTGGAACCATTGCAGTTGTGATGATTGTTTAAAGCATACGTGGCTTATGTATTGATGTATATAATGTGATGTTGCTATCTGGACCAGATCTCTTAAAGTTTGATGGTATTTTTTCATTTATATATGATGTCAATTATTATTAAGTCTACCAGTTCTTCAAAATGCATGTTGTTGTTTCCTGAGATAACAAGGATAAGTGCTAAATTCCTAACGCAGTCTTTTTCTTCAAATTATTTAGATACTTGTAGTTCGTTTAAATTTGGTTTAGATATGAAGATCTGGTCTACGAAAGATTTAAGTCTCTTTGGAACATGCATCTAATCACTTGCGTAACTTCTATATCTTAGACGCTCATAAAATTTAATACTGTTTTCAATATGCACTTTTTATAAAATATGTCTTAAATTATAAAGTGCTTCATACTTTCACTTTCTGGAAACTTAACGTTTAAAAATGTTAACTTTCTGAATGAAATGTTAAAATTTTTCTGGTAATTTAAGATATGGTTCTCTTGAAAATGTCTTGCATGTCTCTGAGTAAATGCATTCTGGTATGACTAATTCATCATAATTTATATATTGTCTTTTTTGAATTATGTATTGGAAACTGCAACTTATCTAGTCATGGTTATTGTTCACTTCACTTAAAGGAACTAGTTGGTTTACAGGGCACAGCCTGATGTGATCGTGTCAATGTTCTGGTGTGATTTAGCATTCTTGTACCAATGTATGTGAGCACACATTTTCTGTAAAATAAATTAAAGCATTGTTGCTCTACAGTAGGAAGGTAATTTAGATGATACTCTTTTGATTGAAAGTAATAGAGAGCTAAAGAATTTGAATTACCAAAGATACCTCTAGTCTTAGCAAAGGTATCCAACATCACGTTTTTGAAAAATGTACTGTGCATCTAGTGTACAACTGCCTCTGGATCTCAAACTGTGTCAGCGGTTTGTACCCCTATTTCTTTTCTAATATGATAATTTAACTATTTCTGCTCTTATTGGCTGTACTGTGTATAGCGAAGTTCGTAAAGATATGATAAGTTTGTCTATGAATAAATAAGAACAGCTACAAAGATGATGTACTCAAAATCTCCATAATTTAATGCTCTTTCTCACAAAAGTATACTAAGTGTGTGTAAAGTACGTATGTAACACACTTGATTACCTTTTTATCTGTATGCCTTATTATATTCTAGTGAAATAAGTTAGCGCACTCTAAATACGCAGTTCATATACACAGTTTGTTGTCATTATCGGACACTGTCTTCCTGTATATGTAAATGTTGTGTAAACGTAGTAGATACTATAGATTTGACGATCAAAAAAGGAAAAATCGAGCTTCAGTTTCATTGCAGAAAAATTTTCGTTTAGCCTTTTATATACTAATTTAACTAAATTTTGTAATTTTGAGTATTTGAAAAGTTCTCAGAAGTGATTTTTGAAAAGAAATTAAATAAAGTTTTATTATGTTTTTGTTTCGAGAATTCTGCATATAAAATAATACATATTTTCCTCATCAGAGCACAGAAGAGGGAAAACAGAGTTTACAGTTAAGCATAATCTTTACTCGTAATGCAATGAGCATATGAGAAAATGTATGAAGATTTCGCTTTAATCACGAACAAATTTATTTTGGTAACGTAATTTCGCTTTTGATAAGTATTTATCTGTGCTGTGTTTACAGGTCCGTTACAAGCAAGACTTTGTAACCAGTTTATGATGCAATATTCCATCAAAAGCATTTATGAAATGCATTTGACAATATATTCTTGATTCCTAAATATACAACTCCAGTTTCAATATACGCTCTCCAGTCTCAATACATGTGCTTTCTAAAAGTAAGTACCATCTGGGGCTGTAGGCAAAAATAATGTGAATTACGAATAACCACAACTTCCATATTACGCTGGTAATCTTGATGACTAAAGATCTTTCTTCATATCTGCAAAATAATTATTTGTATATATGTGAACGTATGCATATGAGTACGTGTATCGTATGCATATGAGTACATATAAAATCTGCATTGATACAGAAATCTGTGACCAGTTTAGCGTGAAAAATTTTAATGTCCCTGAATTTTTTAAAATTTCTCAGTTAATAAAATAGAATAGCTGGACTGTTACGAAATTCAATGTGTATGTAATCAAATGCATTGCATGAATATTAATTCCCGAGTAGTTAAGTTTTTCGTTAAAATATCCTTTCAATTTTTACATTTTTTCTGAACTGAAAATTATAAGCGTTTTGCTTGCATTTGATAATACATATTTTGAAGATGTCTGACACAATGAAAATTGATATTTTATATTTTCTTCAAATAAATTAATGTAAAAAAGATTCATTCGATTAAGAATTGTGTGACATATTTTACACCACTACCTCTTCGCGTAAGTTACGAAATTATCATTTAGGGCGCTGTTTGGATATTTATAAGATTGCAAGTTTTTAAGGTAGTTTCTGCAATGTAAGTATTATTTTATACATATGATAAACATCCAACTCTAAGCTTTAGTCTCATGAGGCGCTCATAACAAAGCCTGACTGTAATTGCAAATTAAAAGTGAAGATGTTAGTTGCAACTTAGCTTGAAAATGAAATAGCTGAGCAATTTCATTCACTGGAAATCTTTGGAAGTGTTAAGTAGGTAAAATAATAATTCATTATTTATTTGAATTTCTTCCAAATATATTTCACAATTTTAGCTAAAAGACGAAGAAAGAATTATATTAAACATTTCGCTAAAAATCTTTCATTGAAACAGATTTCGAATCTTATTTAAGGAGGCAAAATCTAAATTGCTAATTATTTGAAGTGTGCTCTGAAGGAATTTATGCTATAAGATTAAATTTATATATTATTTTTAAAAACATTTGTTCGAAATATAATAAATTAAATTGAATTAGTGTATTGTAAATTTCTTGTCATTTTATAAGTATCCATTTTGATAGCTGCTGTGGGATATAAACTAAGAAATAAGAAATGTCATTTTTAAATGTTGCACAATGTGGTGTTAAATAGAAAATTATGAGATATATATGAACGTCAAGAAATCGGTGTAAAACTTTTGTTTGATCTTAATAATTTAACATAATTAATGAAATACTTTTGAAGTTATTCGACAGTTCTTGAAGGATGTATCAACATGTATGGAAATACCGAAATAAACGTTCGTGTTGTAATTGAACCTTGGATGTTAAATGCACCAATTTTTGCACTTTTGCGAAAGGTAACGCAGTGGCTCTCGAACATTTTCTGCAAAGAGGAGACTTTTGCAGAAAAGTAAATGTGTTGCATATATTTTCATCAATTGTATATTTACATGTATATTTACATTCATATTTACATTTAAATAAATGTTCAAAGAAGCAGTTTAAGAAAACTGAAACTAACAGCAGTTTACGAAGATCTCGGAAGTTTTCCATATACAGGAAAAATATTTCTGGACATTTTAACTTTTCATTTTATTTAAATTATATGCCTCCATAAGTTTTCTCTACATAGTAATTAACAGCACAAGAATATACGCGTGTATGAAAGTAAGCGTAAATTGATTCTCTTTTCTTCTTTTAATTACTGCCTATATGTGAAATGTAATTATATGTTTTATAAAAAAATTTCTTCCCGGACTCAGAGAACAGTATGTCACCAGAGATGAAGAAAAATAGTCACATTAGTGAATATATTGTAAGAATATTTTGCCCTTGTGTTTGTCCCTGTACTAAGAGTGTTATCTGTGTTAAAACATTAATCTGCTCTAACTGATCTGTACTAAGAGTGTTATCTATATTAAAACGTTAATCTTCTCATTAGTTAAAGTATCCATCTCTTAGTTAACTGCGCAACTTGCAGTTGACTGCAACATTTTAGTGTGTCATGATGAAGCAGATGATAACCACTACTTTAATGTGGTATTCATCCATAATTTTAGCCTGAAATACATTTAAAATAGCAAATTTTGTTCAATTAAAATGGTGAGAATCATTGAAGTTCTTTAATTTTATAAGTATCTTCTTTCTTCAGTTCCTTAATATAAAAAGTTCTACTTTTATGCAGTTAAAACGACAAGCAATTGATAAATTAATATAAATGTACTCTTTTGAGCTTAAGAGAGTACGAGTTAAAAAGTGAAATCATTTATCTTCTTTGATATGTTAAAAATGCAATTTAAAGTTATGTTGAGAAGCAGCGCAACTTTGAAGGAATCCAGTCGTTTATCAATTCTTCTGGTCCTGAAAAATCGCAGAAAGTTATGGCTAAAAAACACAGTTGTTACCCTTTTATGTCAATGAACAATTTCATTGCGGTTAATTTTTATCACAGTTCTCTATTTTAATTTCATCTTGAGATGCCAGAAGTTTTCAAAATTTGTTTTTCTTTCAGTTTAGCCCAAATATTGAAGTTCCTTTAAACCACAAAATGGAAATGTATGCATGAATTAATGCTGTTTGATTAGTTTTAAATTTATAAACTCCTTAATGATTATTGATTCTGCAACTATAGTATAGTGAACAGTTCTCTTTTGATGTTGTTCAAAATGTGTGATGTGTAAAATGTCAATGATATTAGCTGAGTAGATAGGTGGCTTTAAATGTGCACCAGATAAATATTTTATGGTTACAAGGTTTGTTTGCTATGTTTAAAAAAAGTCTTTATCTTTTATCTATATTTGAAATAAATAAAAACGATTTACTGTGTTCATTTCTTATGTCTAAAGGTGTGATATTTTAATTTTTGTACCTAACATGCTTTATTGATTTAGGGTTAATTCTTTGGCGGTATGTTTCGGCAGGATTAATTTTTCTGTGATTATTGATTTATATTAAAACATTATGATATACTCACGTTGTAAAAATGAATGTAATATATCGATTTTATTACCGTATGTGTATAAGGATGAATTTCAGACTTTGACTTACCGCATTACATTTAATTTTTATTTATTTATTTATTTTTAATGTGTAAAGACCACGTTTCAGAAGCAATTTACTATCGTTCGGAATTCGAGAACTGAAGAGCTGTTTGTGAATAGTACCAATCTGGATATTTCTGAGTGCTGAATGATCTGTTTTGTCATTTGGAATTCATAGGAAAATAAACTTGCTGGGCACTGAGTAGTTTAGTTTCGAATACAGTTTCGAAGCCTGTGTTACAAATATTTTAGGAGACTTGGAAAATTATCACTGGTCACGTTATTAATTATTTTTGCAAGAGCTTCCCATTAAAACACTGATAATTTTCTTTCGTTTCATCCCCCATAAACACAAGGAATATTTATGAATTTGGCGTTACGTATAATATTTTAAACTATTTATTTTTTATTATTTTTATATTTTTAAAACATTTAGCTAATACCTTATGCGATGTTTATCCTCACGAATGAATTCTATAAAATATTCTTTAATTAAGATAGAAGCTTATCTCAAACAATGTAAGAGAGATATTTGGGAAAACGCCCGTTTTTCAGGCTCGGTGGTTTCAGTTATGTCTTTGATGACACCTTAATTTCGAAATTAGTGATTGCGCGTGGTTGGAACTTTCTGATCCTCAAATTCGAGCATTTGGATAAGAACGAGCATTCGGACACTATCGGGCACACACAAAATTAAACTAGATGAAATTTCAAAGATCGGTCATTAGATTATAGGTATTATAGTCTGTTAACATAATTTTAGCAGCACACAAATAGCTTTTCAGATGTAAAGATAGTAAAATAAATACCTTCGAGCATGATTTTCTGCTTATTGGAAAAACTGGAACGTGATAATGTTAGTGTTTGTATTAACCTGAAATTTTCAATCTTATGAATGTATGACATGTTATGAACGTACGGATTTTTCTCATATTTAATCTCTGATTGGATCTTTAAATGTTGGATGAAGTCATGGAGGCTATCTAAAGCAGATGTATAAATAAGTGTTGAAATGAATACATTTTATGATATCGCTGGAAATTTCATGAATTTTTGAACGTTGTGGGGATCAAGTCTTAGACACTTTTAGTGATTCATAAACTGTGTAACTGTCAAGTATGGAATTATGCCACTTCATATTGATGTAAATGTAATTGTTTATTCTAATTCTATATTCTAAGTACTTTATGGTACATACATTTCTGGAAACTTAAAGCATGTAATACTTTTTAAAACTTAAGTGGTGTTATCAATCAAGATGTGTGCAATTTGACAATTTTCTTTCAAAACCTTGTTCAGAAGATGGCACTTAATGAAATACTTATGTAACTAATGCATTGGAGTTAACAAATTTTTTTTTTTTTTTTTTTTTTTTAATTTTTGTAAATTATTTTGAAAAATGTAAATCAGTTTGTAATGTAATATTTTTTGTTTCCAAGAATCAGATACTGGTTGAGAACATGAATCATTCAAAATATGATAAATCTGCATTTATTATGTCTGCATTTATTTTAATCTGCATTTATTGCTGATGCCCTTAGCCAGGGCATGAGCAAAAATTAAACAAATAAAATATGATAAGTCTGCATTTATTATGTGCTTAACCAGGGCATCAGCAAAAATTAAACAAATAAAAGACAAAATTAGGAAATAGCAATGCAAGTAAAGTAAATACTTAGCCAACATCAATTCGGATTCAATTTAAAAAATCTTAATTTCTGTAAGTGGCATAAATGTTAATTTTTTTTTGCTCTAATTATTATTTCTTAAAAGATAATTTTATTAAATAGTAAGGTCACATAAAATCACTGGATTTCGATTCTCCAACAGATGTGTGAAATATTTTCATACATAAACATAAATGCGTCTGAATATTTATCGGAAAGTTATTGAAAGAAAATTTTAGTTCAGATTGACACTTTGACTGAAATGTGTAAAATGTAGACTACATAATTTTAAAATATGATGCCCTGGTTAAATTAACATTTATTTCTTCAATTCTTTTCTATGTATTGAACTTTATAATTTACTATTTCTTCGTATTTAAATTATAAAATCCCAGAATGCTGTTGTTATTGTTGTAATGATGTATTGTTTGAATTTATAAATACATTTAGATCTTACAAATATGCCAACAGCATAAATTTTATTTTGTTCATTAATTATTTTTAATTGTCCAATTGCAGTAAAAGTTACGTAAAATTGAATGAATATTGTTAGAGATGATTACCAGATCTTAGGAATTTTAGTCTATAGAAGCTAAAGTGCCGTAATCTGTTTTGAAGAAAATTTAAGACTTAGGTATATCATGTTCTTCATTTTATTTTAGAAATGTGAAGTTCTAACCTTAGCACAGTGTGTTTGTGTGTATGTCTGTAATGTGTGACAAATTGTGTACTTAAATCTACACAAATTGTGAAGCTATAGGCTGCAAATTTATTCCTGTTTATGGTATGAACAATTGCACTCTCACGAGCACTAAGTATTTGCTTTTATAGTGTAATCATAGTGATCATGTTTCTTCGATATGTCAAAAACAATGTTAGATATTGTATTCTTGGTGTGCTTTTAAATACAGATTAGTGGAAATATGGATTCAGGAGCTTTAAATTTTCATTGTAGAGGTAAATAACCAAGTATTGTGTTCACTTTGAAAAATCGCTCGTTAGGATTCATTCTTCGATTTTTTTTAATATAATTTTGGTACACGATTACACTTTATGTTTGTTTAATTGTACATTCTTCCTTTGCGTTCTCTTAAGTTGATTTATTTTAATTTTGAAATGAAATTTAGGAAAACCACGCTTAGTCAAACACTTAAGAGAAAAGCTGCGTATTTCTTATTTGCAGTGTTCATAAAACGGCATTAAGAAGATTTACTGCTGCATTAACTGCTTTTCAATTACACCTTCAAGTGTTTTCTCAGAGTCCAAATAGTTATGCTAAAATTTGCTGCTACAGTCTTGAATACAGTGCACGTATTTTAAGGTCCAATATTTTTTAAGTAAAGTTACGTGACAAAGGCAAGTAAATTTGTTTTAATTAAAATTAGAATTTTGCAGTAACTTAGTTTTCTGTGGCTCTAAATTTTCAAGCTCTTCGTTATAATGATATCTTAATACATAAAACTTGAGCAAAAAGTATAATGATAGTTTAAATAAAAGTATTTTCAATAAATATGTCTAAATAGCAAGATAGTTAACTTCCTCCCAATTAATGATAAATTAGTCAGCAAAATAATACGTAAATAAATTTAAAAATGAAACATTGCTTCGCAACATGGCATTCGTATAATTCGTAAAAACGTATAATGATAGTTTAAATAAAAGCATTTTCAATAAATATGTCTAAATAGCAAGATAGTTAACTTCCTCCCAATTAATGATAAATTAGTCAGCAAAATAATACGTAAATAAATTTAAAAATGAAACATTGCTTCGCAACATAGCATTCGTATAATTCGTAAAAAAGGATAATGATAGTTTAAATAAAAGCATTTTCAATAAATATGTCTAAATAGCAGATAGTAACTTCTCCAATAATGATAATTAGTCAGCAAAATATACGTAAATAAATTTAAAATGAAACATTGCTTCGCAACATAGCATTCGTATAATTCGTAAAAAAGTATAATGATAGTTAAATAAAAGCATCTTCAAAAATATGTCTAAATAGCAAAATAGTTAACTTCCTCCCAATAATGATAATTAGTCAGCAAATAAACGTAAATAAATTGTAAAAATGAAACATTGCTTCGCAACATAGCATTCGTATAATTTGTCAAAAAGTATAATGATAGTTTAAATAAAAGTATTTCAAAAAAAGTCTAAATAGCAAGATAGTTAACTTCCTCCCAATTAATGATAAATTAGTCAGCAAAATAATACGTAAATAAATTTTAAAATGAAACATTGCTTCGCATCATAGCATTCGTATTATACAATGAGTAATGATTTTCATAACTGTCTTAAAGTAAAATAAAAGGTGTAAAAATTTCCAGACGTATAAAAATATATGAAAAAATTTACAAGTATTTATTCGAAAGAGTTAAAGTAAAAAGAATAAATTACAGTTGATTTAAATAACTCATGAAAACTGGATAACCTGTTAGTATGTATATGAAGTTTTCACTATCTGTAGAATCTAACAAATTACCGATATAAAAATGCATACTGAGTATTAAAAATATAATGTATGCACAATTACCGCTTAATTTGTGCAGTCCTAAATTTCTGCAACACAGTATTTCCACACGTTGCCTTATGAAAATATAAAAATTTCATCATTTCTTCAAAATTGAGACCATTACAAGGTTTATACGCAAATATCGACTTTTACGTTTAAAAAATATTGGTTCTTAAGTCTAGTATTTAAAGCACTTCAGGAAAAAATTAGAAATGTGTTGTAAAATTCATCTAATGATGGCTTTAAGAATTTAGCTATCATATCAGCATTCGTGACTGATAGGAGCAAATATCAGCGCTTGAAAAAAAATTCATATTCTTTAGTCAGAAATTGCTCAGAGCACATATGAAAATTAGGCGAAATTCACCTTTTATTTAAAATAATTGACATATTCAAAATAAAAATCTGAAAAAACAAAATGTTCAGTAAATTTCGGCATACATTCATACTTAAATTTGTATAAAAGCTTTAATATATTTAATTTGAAATTAACTTCGAACTAAAAATGAATTTTGGATAGTTTTGAACTTGAGTTATACCATACAATAAATTAGAAGATTTTCAAATTTTCTCTCGCAGAATGATAAGTTTTTGCGATTTATTTTTCATGTAGCTAGAAATCTTGCGATATTGAATTAATCAAAGACGAAATAAAACTGGCATTTGTTCTAATTTAGGAGAGCCTAATTGGAGTTTTTTAAAGAGTACTTTAATACTGTTGAGAAAATATATATGTTGATTTTAATGTTTTCCTCACACTTCATACTGGTATGATAATAAACTCCGTTTTTGTATTAATTGATTTGGGACACACGTTATAGCAGAATGGGAAATATGAGCAGGATAAATATTCACAGCCTACAATAAAATTAAAAACTATAACTGTTTCGTTATGTTTTACATTAAGATGGAACTGTATTGAGAATTTTAATGCTTTACATCCCTCACAATCATGTTTGAGGTGTACTGAAATATAACATCTTATCGCTTCTTTTAAAAACACCACTCATTTTTAAAGATTGAAATATTTAATAAAACTAAAGCATTAAAATAAAAGATTTAAGCGTTTAATTCAGGCAAAATGGTAACAGTTCCCGTTTTCATGAAGGCTAGAGATTTATAAATGATGATCCTGTAGCACGTTATATCCTCAGATACAAGGTAGTTTTAAATCTGAAAGTTTCAATTTTGAAATATGGAATAAAATATAAGATTATTTAAATTTCTAAGCGCACTAAATATCATATGCGAGTGCCATTTAGATTATTCGTCCTGCATTTCAGTATTCTGCAGATCTTCACTGTACATGATGTGCAGGAAATGTAATTATTTTAAGAATCTTACTCTTATTGAATAATGTCGTTTCAAATTATCTGAGTTTATGAATTTTAATACTTTTGCTAATGTCTAAAAATGAATTTAAATAAAATTATTAACTTCCATACAGTTTTAAGATAACGAAGTAATTTTATTGCTTTATAAATATTCACATAATTGTAAAACTGATACTGGGAAATTATATCATTCGCATACCATTTCGCTAAATATAAAACGTAAATAAATTATAAAACAGTAAAAGAAATAAGAATTCCCCCAAGTCCTGATCCCTTTTCTCAGTTTTACTTCCTTTCCCTTAAGGTAATATATACCCTGAATTAAAAGTATTAAATGTAAACAATAGAGTATCATTCACATGTAATAAATAATTTCCTTCATTGATTAGTTAAAAATGAATGTTTGAAACATGATCATAATTAATATCATAAAGATATACAAACAGAGAGATATATAAACAGACAGTTGCATAAATATTTATACTAAACTAAAAAAGCCTACATAAGTGTTTATATTTTAAAAAAAAAGAAGTTTTTGTAGCGGTAATAATTTATTTTATGCATGATAATTCTGAAAATTTTAGAGCTTATTCGTTAAGCAGTTAATAAAAAAGATTAAAATATACATCGCCTAAATTCTACTGCCCACTTTCGGACTTTAAAAGATATTTTTTTCAGTTTTTGGAAAGTAAATTAAAAAATAAAACTTCGCGCTCCGAAGCTAAAAAATTGTTCATTTATCACTCTGATTAAAGTAAATGATTCATTGTAAACTTTCTTGCAAAATATAACTTACTTTATTCACGAAATTTTGTTTGTTTAATAAATTAGACAAAGCCCGTGAGGGAAATCTGATTAATGATACTTTTGTGAACATTTTTTTAAAGAACAAACACTACTTTACTTTACATAACGGTGATAGACGCCAAAGCACTGTTGCAACCAAAGTTACAGTTACAGTGGAACTTAAAGTATTAACAAGCTTATCCGCTCGGCTTCTGGTCAAGAACAATTATCGTATTATAGGGCCAACCTAAAACCATGAATGATTTTGAGTTGTTAAAGAAGTCTCTAAACCTATACTAACTTTCTATTCAGATCTAAAATTTAGTACATGATTATACGTTTTAAGTTGTATTTAATAGTTTAAAATGACCAAAGGAAAGTTCTTACACCCCCTTTTTAATTCAGAATATAGGATTTCATATTAAGCCTCAGACTAGGTCTGTCTGTAACCGCAGTTTTCCTTTAAAGGAAATAGAGGAAGTTTCTAAATGATTTCATAGTGAATTGAATGGAAGAAAATGATCATTTACAAAGTTATACATCTTTGAAATCTCTTCCAAGTCTGAACAAAGAGGTAATATGTAAAGCATGTATAAATACATCTAGGCATTTTCTAGGTTTTTCAGTAGGCATAATATTCATCACTTAAAACAGAAATATAATCAAGTATTGAAGAAATTTGCTTAAAACTATGTTTTGTTAACTATGTTAAGACTTCTGCAATTCATTCATATTTGATGATGGTAACCTTGTATTTTAAGTCATTTCTGTCTGCTAGTTCAAAGTAATCAAATGACGACGCAATCTCGCTTTTGTACGGAGTTATGAATGACAGCTCAACAAATTTCCACTAGGATGTCCTTCAACCGCTTTTATTCAGTTGGGTATTACCATTTTATTAGACCTTGACTGTGTATTTACAAGCTTTTTATTTTGAAATAAAAGGGAAGCTTAGGGACTTCTTTAGCACCTTGTATGTATAGCAGACCTTGATCAACTTCGGTGTTATACATTAATATCATTCAACTTCGATGTTATTGTTTACGTTCGATTAAAAACCTCAGTTGAACACAATACTTGGAAAACAAAATTGTAGTTACAGGTAAAAAAAAATACGTGAGCAAAAAGAGAGCATGATTAAAATTACTCTAGATAAACTTAGATTAATTAATGCATAAATTGCAGCCCGATGAATGACAAGGATGTTCCACACGAAGCAATGGCATGCGTTGCAACTTGAGCTTATTACTTGCAACTGAGTGCAAAAAATCTCATTGTCATTTTATAGGGTAGTAAACGTGCTGGACTACTGTCACTCTAATTGACCAATCATGGAATCGCGGGACTGTTTGCCCTATTAGTATGTGATAACTCTTTCGATATTTCCTCAACTGTGTATAGCAATCACTTAAATAAATTATAAGAAGTTATGTGTCTTTATCTCTTCATTCACAGTGCACAACATAACAGCAAACACATTATTATACATAATAAACTATTATAACTACACCATATTATTTAAGCTCTACATCTTTCATTATTCTGGTTATTAAAGTCTTAAAAAATCAGTATTTCGTAAAACAACTTTAAGAAAGTAACGTTTCAGATTTGATTACTTAGTGTGACATTTAATAACGCCATTCATTATACAAAATAACACATAACTTAAAGAACGATGTATTTTATATTGCCAAAGCAAAATATGTCTTACTGTTAAATACTTTAAACATCAGCCAATAGCCTTTTCAGGTCACTTACCTTACTTCTGAAGAAAACACTACGTTCCCAAACATTATCTAAAACTAATCGAAAATCATTGACTAAAAAATTAATATGGCTATTAAATAAGTTAAATGAACTAGTTTTAAGAAACATTATTTGAACAAGTAAGAAATATTATTTGTAGTCATGTTATATAAAATGTATAACACTTTACATTTTAATACGATTATTTCAATTCACTTGGAAAATTTTATATTTATTTTAAACGACTGATTACATGATGTATTTTAAACCAATAGTTACTTGATTTGATAAAAGCTGTGATAGAACTAAGAATAAAATACTTTTGCAAATTAGTCTGCTCTTGCAATGGATACTTGTTCTCACTGGCATTATTAGAATGCTTTTATAAATATAAAATACTTTGAAATTTCAAATTGTATGATTCGTCATACACATGGAAATAAGTAGATGAGTGATATAATATAATACTAATGTTAA